ATAGTTGTATAAGTGATATGTAGTACATGAAAATTAAATCAGTGTATGCTTACATTTACATTAAGATAAGTTCTCAGGTACACAAGTCAGCAAGGTTGTCTAATATTTAGAGTGAATTGTTCATGACCGTTGGGTTAAAATCTCACATTTTGGCATTACACTGACTAGAAACAAGGACTATACGTTAGCGTAAGCTTTCATAGACTTAGTTATACCCTCCGAGTATCAAAACTGAATAGCATATGGTTAAAACTCGGGTAATCCTAGGTTCGACGTGGTATTATTAGTATGGATATTATACTACCGTAAAAACATTCTCTGCTAATTTCATTGAGAATCCGATATGTTTCGAAACATTAGAAATACAATACTCTACTCATTGAGATATCATAAAAAATACTTGTTATAAATCTGGAGTTTTTGATGCAAGAGATTCAGACTATCAGGTACACCCAGTACATCTAAATGTGTTCTAAGGTGCTGACTAAAAAAGGGTCTAGAACACACTGTGAGGAATACGTACTGCACTTTGCGTTGCGAGTACTTGTTTAATTTTAAATTTAACGTGAATACTGTCTTCGCAGTTCGAAGTTTTGGTAATACGAATTACAAGAATCTTCACACTGCCTTCAAAATAATATAATCAGGATATCAAGGTGCTTTTTCAACCAGCAAAATTCATTTCTAAGGTTATGTAAAAGATATGTGGCAATAAATTTTCCAAATATCCGTAACCGATATGGAATATGCATACCTTGCCGTTTTTCATATCCTCAAACAGTCGCAAGGATTCCTCAATCGGTCTGTCTCTCCAGGGCGAAGTTGGTGGATTAAAACCTCGTATTTCTTCTACGGCCTGATGACAAACATAAGCTAACTTTAATTTGATTAACTTAATTGCCCATTCGTATAACTGTTGGAAATTATCCGAGGCATAAGTAATCTTGTATGGAGTAAAGCCTGACAACTATTAATTTATTAAAGACTTACCCAGCCATCGAACCATGTCCTCAATAGCTTCGAAAAATTCTGCTTCTTCCTTTTCAGGGTTTGTATCATCATATCGCAAGTAGGTTATGCCACCATGTTTCTAAAAATAATAGATCGCAGTGGTATCAACTAACCTTTGCATAACCAAAATTAAAATTGATCGCTTTTGCGTGGCCGATGTGTAAAATACCGTTGGGTTCAGGAGGAAACCTGGTAACTACTATGCCACCGGTTTGCTTCATGTGTTCTTTCAATAACCTCATAGTATCTTTTGTCACAATGTAACCGGGTGAATTATAATTTTCGCCTGGCTTGTGAAATTTAGCAGCTTCTCCCACTACATCACTGTCACCATTCACTAACATGATAACAGTACTGATATGATATAGGAATAAGCAAAGCAACGATCAATTCAACGCTTTAGTGGTAACGTCTACTGGTGGAGGTCACTGAGCACGTGAAGGTCAAACCGTCGTAAAACGATTGGTGCGTCACCTCGACAATTCGTAAGGTTTTACGGAAGCGGTCACATCAAGAGAATTGACTCAAGTTCAGCCACATTATGTCTGATAACTCCCATCCCTCAAGTAACGAAAGTGATGCCACCGCAATGATGCATGACATATGATGAATCTTCAATGATATTATGTTATCGCGAAAATGTTGAGACCTTTCTAGAAGTATATAGTTGTTTTTACAATAACCCTAGAGTATTTTTTCGTCAGATATGCTTGTATACTTATGGATGTAAAAGCAGTGTACCAGGATCCGAAGTTTAATAGTGGTGATCAACATTCTCCCGGAGAGCATGCACCTTCTTACTCAATGCCGCAACCTAGACGAAGAACACGACGTCGGTCATCTACGTATGCTTAATTTCAAATGAATGTATCCTTCAAGTCGAAATATTGCCACTGCTAATCTGGATTTTGGGTCCATGTAGTAAATTGTGAGCTAAGCGTCACCTCTATTAAAACTGTACACAACTATACTTGTGCATTTCTGTAGGTCCGTCGAGACTGAATTTGTCGGTGAGTGGGCGATTATATTTAAGACCGTTCCTGTTGAGTAATACGTCGACGCGAGGCATTTGACATCCGACTTCTTAGAAGTTCCATAAACAGTTAACCAAGAACAATATCACCGAAATCCGGTGACGGTTTTAACCAGGTTGCTAAACTCACATGCTAATTAAATTAATCTAGACACTAAAGTTATCGACGGGATTTTACAGCGCGTCCAGCCAAACAGTGAAGTAAAAGTTTTCTGTAAACATATCTACGATCTGCCTCATTCGCAGGGAGCAAATAACTATCTACCACGCGCTTTCAGAGGTGGTACTTATTGAATGACTTACCAGCCCAACTAACGAGAACAAATTTGTCTTGACGTTTTCCACTTTTCTAGCAAGTGACAACTGATGGTTTTGGGCTAAGGAACACTGTTACGTACGTTCTTTGCGGACAAGCACAACGCGAAAATATCGTAAGACTACTCGAATGCTTCAGATATAAAAAGTGCGGCACTTATGATACACTCACTTTCTTTATGGATTCATCAGCGACCGAAAGTCCCGTGGTACAGTCTACGCAGTCATGCCGACATTATACTGTGTTGTTTCATGTCTTAGGAGCACTGTTCTGGGAAGTATATATTAACTGTAGAAATCGTCTGTTGTAGTTCAGAAATGCTTGGAACATCGCGTGAAAACCAGGCGACCTAACATGTGAGCTTCGCTTTTTACAACTCATTATATTCGGATTTATTTAGAAGTATGAATACCCGGGAACCTAATTTTCACAGGCCTATAATTACATAAGGGGATCACTAGATTGCTCAGAAGTCAATGTGGTTTCGTTGTTACCAGCGACATGTACCAAGCTCGGGATAACCAAACAAACAATCGTGTAGAAAGTGTTCAAAAACGCCTTGAAAATGTCTCAGAAGAGGTGATAAACATTCCATCGACAGTCAGAAAATTCCGGCGTATCTCAGACACTCACCTACGTTTCAGTCCAGACGACGCTATAAAGGATCTCCAACGTTTCCCAAAGCTTGAGGTAAGAAATGTAGTCAAATGTATCATCAATTTCGAGCTCCAATTTCACTCCAGACTATTTTAAGCGAGCTTTTGCAGTCATATCTACGGCTAAAAATTACAAACTAGTCGGTAGTATGAGACAAAATGATAATGCGAGAATACATCCGCTGCAACGACAAGGTTAGAATATCTGTTGTTGACACAACACGTTCACAATGTGACCATCAGTGTCTCAATGATAACATGTTGCTGTGTGGTCGTACTTTGTATGCACATGCCAAAGATCTATTCCATGAAGGAAAGTATGCTTTTGTCTCCATAAACATCGTGTGTTTATTTCGACATGGCAGCCGGTGGACAAAGAACAACATGATGGAATTGGTTCTCCGTGCGTTGATGAGCACGTCAAGCTGTACAGGGAGTGAAGATCTGTTTGAAAAGTTGACTAATAACTACTACCCTACCCACACTCTTAGTGAGCCTCTGTCCACTTGTAGTGGCATTGAATACTAACCAAAATCCTCAAATCTGGACATGAGATAACTGTGAAAATAGACTTTTAACATGGAACACTATGAGAAGGTCAATGATGATGGACGCGAGAACATTCATTTAGTTAATTCAGCATGGTTTGGCCTTGCAGACGTGGTCATTTTGAGTGTTGTCGGTGACTGTTAGGATGCGATGAGCTGGTGTACACGATGATGTGACTTCCACGTAAGGTCTTATAGATTAGGAAGTTAAACCATGTCAAATCTACAATTTTAGGGCTAAGTCTATTATTATAGCAGTACTAACAACGAAGTAGACCATAATTCTAAAAACTTACCCGTTAATGCTTTATGCCAATATCACAGTTTAGTTTTAATGTGAAACTAGGAAACACTTTTTGTTAATTTTAGAAACTGAAAGGAATCCCTGGATATCTTTATATGTGTATGTCTGTCTATTTTGAAACAATCTAACACCTGTGCAAAACTATCAGAATAGAGTTTCAGCACTTAGGCATCACTCATATTGGTGCGTTAGGTTCCTCTTCTATTTAGAGGTCTGTAGAAAAAAATGCATGCTTTTTCTTACGGTTTCTCCCCAGGATATTATACAACTTAAAGCAGAACAACTAAGAGCTGTTTTCAACTCCTAGACAAAGCCTTACTTGGAGAAACGTCTGCGTAAAGTTCCCTTACCTTGAGAATGATACCGCTCTCTTGGAACGAGTTCAAATTAAAGCACATTTATGAATGTTAAAACCCCTCTCAGTAAGCCTAAAAATCCTTGCAACCCGTGCCAAAGCGTTAAGAGGGGTATAATCTCGATGTATTGTAACACCTATAATCCACATCCTCAAGACAGATCGCTCATAACATCTAATACTAAACCACTCTGAGGAGGGTATTCATATGGGATGATGGACTAACGAGCTAGCCCGAAAATCCAAGCGAATATTTCTCGTGTTCAAAGCCGGCAAGCTATCAAAAACCTCACGAGAAGTAGTACTGACAGCACTCCGTGGAAAAACTTTAACAACAGCCTGATGAGGATGTTATTTTATAATCACCTTCCATCGTCAAGAATGTTCTCCTACCACTCATGAGAAGATCCTCAGGAAAAACAAGATAAGCTTGAATTTATGACGTCGAAAAATGTTTTCAGTATTTCCCCTTCACGAACAGTCTTTTGATTCCACTAAGCACAGTTCTAGGTGTAAGTAATCAACTATTCGAACCTACTGCTTGAAGGATTGATGTTTGAACCTTCTGATGAATCAATAAAGAAAACATTATAAATCCATCAAGGATTTATACGAAATGAGTAAAACAAGCTGTTAGTGTTTAGATTTCATTATAAAAATTTGATCTGTACAACAATATTGGACCTTGGTTGTCCTTCACAAATATAGAGGGAGTTTGTAATCGCTCTCTAGTTCAGATTGTCTTGATCCCATCTTTGTGGTACTTTTGTCTTCAGTTATTTAGATCAATGAACATAGGTGCATACTACGTGCTTAATGAGTCATCGACTCACTTTTTGTCCTTATTTTCCTCTACAGATTTTTTCATATCTGTGTGCTAGGGATCACTATCCCTCAACGTAGCACAAAGCTATAGCCTTTTTGTATAGATACGAAGAATTACCAAAAGTTGAAAGTTAAACTTTAATGTCTGGTAGATAGAAATAGTTGAGTACACTTTAATGTCTTCCTCAAGATCCAATACTATTGCAAAATTTCAAACAAATCTAACAGTTTTGAGAGACGTTCTGGCCAATGAAAATGCAAAATTTGGGGAATCATTCGTCCCATAAAGAAATAAAATCTCAAGGGATGAAGTATTTTGACATGGATAAGCTGGATTTACACTGGGAAATGAGATGCCAAAATTAAATTTCAGACGACCTACTATCTCTGCAACAGGAGACTGAATTGTGGATTATTTCATATAGTCTACGAGAAAGGATCGGGGTAAAATTCTAGTCAATATTAGGCGTTAAGATTTGGAATTGTGGTTATTATTTCCATCAAGAAACAGGCATCGATGATCTAACGTTTAAATTTACCAAACCCGTCTACTAAGAATTTTTGGCTTGTAGCCATAGTGATGAGTGAATTTTGTAGAAATATCCACGAGGCAATGTTGAAAATTTGTCTCGCTCTTAAAATATTGTGCCACCTCAAAGGCATTCAGTCTACTTTGAAAAATTCCAAATTCCCATCGACCAACATATCTTTTATTTTTTTTTCGTCGAAAAGCTAATAAATTTCTCGTCATTCTGATAACCGCGCATATTTGTTTCTCTCCTCTTGTCTTGTCCTGCCTGTAAATTTTCTGCGTCTAGAAAAACTCAGCTAGTTCTGCTGAGTATTAACTCTGATCGTGAAATATTGCCAGCTACCAGCTGTTGTTTTTGAAACTCGATGATTGGACTGATCCTCTGCATTAGATTTCTAGGCTCTTATAAGCAACGTAACTTCGTGACAATACCAAACGCTTTGGTAGATGTATTAAAGATAAACACTTTCCATCGTGCATGGACTTCGTTTTATCTTCTCGTAACAAGTGATTTTCTACTCATTTTAGACCAATTTGAAAGTCCTGTTTACAAGTTGTTTCCAACCCGTTTATAATGGGATTTTTCAAAGCATGCTGTGTAAAATCTCCAGAGTTACTCTTGATTCTTAACGGTCCGGTAGATCCTCTTTGGAATCGGATTTATTGCTTGGGCTAAGTGCTTTATCTTTCTAATCTACCAGTATGGTCGATTGAGTGACATCTAAAATAAAGTTTTCAAAGAGTAGCTACGTCACATACAATAAGATTCCTGCCTGTATTTAGTCAGAATTCCATTTTCGTAAGAGAAAGTTTGTTGACGCCGCACTAGGCGTCACAGTACATCATAAAATATTTGCTAACCTGTCGTTCTCAACAGACTGCGGCAATTTATTTCATCAGGCGTCAAGTGCTACTGTTCTCGCAGTTCGAAAAAGCTACTTGTTGCAGTTTGTTATTACCAATGTCGTATTTGATATACGTCCTTGAGACTGTACATGTTAGGTCTTTGCAAATCGTCTGTACTACTCAACTTGTTTTGTAAGGTAATCGTTAATACAGAAAGCTTTTAGTTTTGCTTAAAACTCGGAATTATGTCTCCCGTAATATTTAAGTCAAACGAAATCTTTATACTGTATTTTATCCCTTCGATGATATTCACGTACTATGTAAAGCTACTCAAAGTCAACCAGATGTGTGCCAGCCCAACATTGAGAAAAGCAAAAACATGCAGACCAAAACACTAGATCGGCATATGAAGCTACTGACTGTTGGTCGAAATGAGTAAGCTTCTTGATCAGTATTCGTCCAATGGGTACGATCTATTGTTAGGTCCGGGTTCAAAACTGATTATAGTGATGCAGTTGTATATACTGCATATCTTACAAATCTGATATACCATCCCATGAATTTTCTCGTTAGTTATTTTTTATTGTTTTTGAGATGAACTTCTTACTTCTAGTTTTCTATTGCCATTCACGTATGATCATAATCTTGGTAGTTTCCTCTCTGTGATAAAATGTGGCATCTTGGAGTGATACAAATTGCGACAAGTCCTACGTCGTTATTGACTGACCATGTGTGACTAAACTGTATTATAGTTTCGGAAAGACTTGATTTTATTTGGGCATGAATATCTAGTGATAAGCCACAAGATATACACTAGTCAAGCGTGATCTATTATGACAATTTAATTATCGAATAGCTCCGTATTCAGGGGTGTGATTCTAAAGTGTTTTATTATGTAATAGTAATTATGTAGCATCTTAGCTTACAATCATCTTACAGATTTTATACCATGATTCCCTAGGTAATGCAGTGTACAAGGTTGATCCCAAGTTCTTTAATTTCTAACAAATCACAATCAATAAGAACTATCAATGTAGCAATGGGACCTTTAAAGTCTCGTCAGAAAATTGCCTTTAAGACAAGATACCACTGGATGTTAGACTTAAAAAAAAGCAAAGCTCGTGCAAAATACCCTTGGATTCCCAGGTACGATATCTTAACTTCTTAATTTTAGTTTTCAGGGAACCAACCACATCCATGGAAATATATGGTCAAAAAATTATTTTTCCTGAAATGTACCTAGATTTTATTGTACCTAACAACTTGGACAAATGTGAACTGAAACCTTACGTTTCATGGCAATCGAAGCTAATTGAGGAGGGACCATTAACAGCTGAAGTTTTATTTAATAACAGATATTCACAAAAAATAACTGAAATGTTTAAAAATGGTGCAAGTAATGAAGAAATTATGGAGTACTTGAAGAACACGAATTGTTAATAATAAATAAGTGAAAAATTATCTTGTTGATTTGAACTGTATCACATTTTGTAGCTTCGCTGACTTATAATCTGTTCTGAGTTGAATGAAGTTCATCAACAAATCTCTTGGCATTCCTGACTGCAAATAATCTTGAACAACTTGTTGTACGTTTTCTGGCTTAATCAACATGAGATTCATCAGCTTAAACAGTACATCGAAAACAACATTAACAGTTGGACTCCCAAAATGCTTTGCGGTTTCTCGGTAGGCGGTTACATCTTGCATTGCAACAAATCCACCTGAAAAATGACAATTTAGTTCACAACTTGTATAAAATAACAACAGCTATTTTAGAGAATAACTGAAAAGTAAACTACTATAAATAAGTAGGCGAGTAACATGCCTTTATGCAGAGGTAAATTTCAAAATTGTAATTCACTGTTATGTTTGGACACTCCAAAACTTAACAAATTAGCGTACTTTAGGTCAGATGTTCGAATGCTAAATATAAAGTGCTGAACAATGTATCTCTGATTAAGCTGCTTAGCTACACTTGGTGGTAGCTGTAATTCATATTAAATGCTGTACTGATGTTTCACTACATGTAAGGTTCTGTAAACTGTTGGATTTACGAAAAGTGCAGACCTGAGTTAATTTGTTGCACAACCTAACCTTGAAAGCTTTGAAAACTTTCATGAAAGACTAAGCATATAGTGCTTGTATATAACAAAGATACGTGCGGTTTTCGCCGTTTCTGGAAAATAAACTTTAAACAACAAACTTTCTCGTCATCAATTAAATAGACCTCGTCTCATAGATTTCTTAAATTCCTTGACATATATATGTATCTGACAGCAGATTGAAGTCACTAACTTCTTGTCTTAGCCATGTTGGCAGATGAAGATTACTTGACTCGGGTCTGCGCGACTATCGTAACCAATGTTTGGAGACTGGGTGACATGGCTCAGAATCCATCACAACTTTGTAAGTATATACAGATTAAAACTGCTTTATACCTTTCTTTCTACGAACTAATTCTTTCTCCCTGTATCATATCCTTATGTGCAATCTTCCTTTTATATATTACTACCATTGAAGTAACTGCTGAGAATTTGTTCATCCTGTGCTAATGAGATGTAGCAACTTGGACCGACCTATATATGTGTCTGGTCCTATGTTGTAGATGCCTGACTGACAGAAGAGGTCTCGACAGACAAAGTTTTGCAGCGTATGGTACTAAACATTTAAGAATCACGCCAGATCATAATAATCTGAGCCATAGTTTATGGCTCCACACAGTCTGAAATTCGTAATGTACCAGCTACTCAAATTCTGGTCAGCTAATAAATGTATTGGTAAATATTCCGTAGAATTGATAGTCTGAAATAGAACTAAGGATACGCTGAAGGGATCGGAGTCAGAAAAGGCTGTCTACTCTCAGCCCTCCTCTTTATTCTGGTGGTCGACTGAATTATGAAGACCTCGACATCTGAGAGAAAACACGGAATACAATGGACAGCTCAGAACCAGTTAGACGATTTGGACTTTGCAGATGACCTAGCCCTCCTATCGTATACACATGAACAAATGCAGATAAAGACAGCCAGTGTAGCAGCAGTCTCTGCATCGGTAGGCCTCAACATACACAAGGTCCTCAAATTCAACACGGAGAACAGCAATCCAATCACTCTTGATGGCAAAACTCTGGAAGATGTAGGATCGTTCACATACCTCGGAAGCATCATCGATGAACAAGGAGGCTCAGATGCAGACGCAGAGGCGAGGATTGGCAAAGCAAGGGTCGCATTCCTACAGTTGAAGAACATATGGAACTCAAAACAACTTTCAACTAGTATCAAAGTGAGAATCTTCAATACCAACGTCAAGGCAGTTCTACTGTACGGAGCTGAAACTTGGAGAACTACAACAACCACCATCAAGAAGGTACAAGTATTTATAAATAGCTGTCTACGCAAGATACTCAATATCCATTGGCCGGATACCATCAGCAACAGCCTTCTGTGGGAGAGAACAAACCAGCTTCCAGCTGAAGAGGGAATTAGGAGAAGACGATGGAAATAAATAGGACATACATTACGCAAATCATCAAACTGCATCACGAGGCAAGCCCTAACTTGGAATCCTGAAGGTAAACGGAACAGTGGAAGGCCAAAGAACACATTACGTCAGGAAATAGAAGCAGATATGGATAGGATGAATAACAATTGGAAAGAGCTGGAAAGGATTCCCCACGATAGGGTTGGATGGAGAATGCTGGCAAGTGGCCTATGCTCCTTCACGAGGAGTAACAGGCGTAAGTAAGTAAGTATATATATAGTTTCTTAGAGTAACCAGTTTTGATAATACTAAAACTAATAAATTGAATAATTACTACTTTTGAATAGTCGCAGATGTAGTAATTAGGTTAATCAATATAGATTGAAAGGAATAGAAGTCCCATCTCTTAAAGAAACATTGCCTTGCTTCCATTCAAACAACAAGGAACTGGACATGAGTATATATCAAATTAAAGTATTTATATATATAGCGTAATAAAAATTGAACGAAACAGAATAAACTACAGCATAACTTCGTAGCTTAGTATTTTCTTAAGTTAAGAGGAAGAAATCGTACATATGAAACTAAGCGTTAACACTCAATTTCGATCCGAGTACGTTCGATCAACATTTTCCTACATGTACTCCAATTAAAAAAACCCTCCATTTCATCAAGTTCCGAACTTAATTTGTTCTGAAAAATTTATTTTTCTTATGCACCCGAGTAAAATGCACAGCAGGCTCCTTATCCTTTAGAAAGTTAACATTCTGTTATGTTGCATTTTGATTTACGTAGGACCTTTGCTCAGATGGTGAGAAAGTCTATGACAAGGATGAGCTGGCTTCTTTCTACAACCAGTAGGTCGTTACTATAAATATTTACGTGTCCTTTTCATCATTTCACATGAAATCAATAGCTCTGAAATACGAGACTATTTCATTAAATTTTTCAGATTAATTTAGAAGAGAAAAAGGATTCTATAGCATGAATGAATATTTACCTGTGTCAGAAAAGGTAAAGTTATAAAAATGATCTACCAATGTGCGATTTAGTTTCATTCCAAATTCATGTAAAAATGTTTTTAAATTTTGACCATCTAGGTGTTGATGAGTCTCGCGGTTGATGTGGGTTACGAAAGCAACCACATGTTGACATGCCTAGCATATTGTTAAGAAAAATAACAGCAACAAATCGTAGTATTTCGGAGTGATACAAGCTATGGGATAAAAGGGTCCGTAAAAAAACAAGCCAATGAGGAGAGAACACTACGTTCGGTTCTTTAACTAGATATGGAGAGATTTATAGCACAACCGAATTCTAGTAAAATAAGGGACTTGAAAAGTGCACTACGCAAACGAAGTAATAACATTATGGCGAAATAGGAAAAAATCGTACAATCAGCTGATAGGTGAACAAGTGTAACATTTAATAAAAATACTCACATAATTAAAGTAACCGATTGAGTTACTGAGTAAAAATAAAATTCTTTTCAATGAAGTCGTCTAATTAAGCTGTACATTTATATTTATAGTTGTTTGATAAATATAGGAGTCTATAGAGGGATAGAAGAGATCGAATTATAAAGTGACAATAACTAGGGTCGATCAGCGCTCCTTTATCGAGCAAGTGGTAGCTTTTAATTCCTTTTTTAAAAACTACGACAAGTAAAGTTCTGAGACGTGTTTGCTTTGTGCGCCCAGTGTAACCTGCCTCACAAAAGCCAGTAAATTTATGGATGCACATCGGTATGGCCCCAAGCCGGAGTTTATCCTTAACACGTCGGGGAATGATAGGGCGACTTGTGAAGGCAATACGAAGCTTGGCTGAATAGGTTTTATTCAGGGATTTTGAAATCCGTTTATCCAAGATTTCAGAAACTATAAATCACCTAAATTCGATATTAATAAAAAAATTTTGTTAGAACTATCGATGGCTTGGTGTTAAGTTTCTAGCAATCAATCTATGTAGATAGCTATTTCTGATGAGTATCTGTCGAAGTTGGAGCAGTTCGTCATCTATTTTGCTATGATAGTATATTCGTCTAGCCCTCGACGATAAGTGAATTAAGTTTCTCCTTCTACTTAATGGAACCCAACCAAAGAAACTAATATATTAACTACTTGAAGTCGGTTTTCTACATGTACATTTTCGTAAGGAACTATCTGGCCTTTTTTCAACAAGACAACAGAAAAACAGGTTCCGCGTTAGTCTCTGCTTTTAGTGTCAATTTAATTGAGTGCTGACAATTACTAAATTGATCCAAGATTTCATTGAAGTCCGTATCTTCTCCACAAATTCTCTTCCACGTCATATCTGACAATGTCCCAATCCACTGAGTTACACCATCTCTAGGACCTCGAAAAGAGAGTCGTGATGGGACGAACAGATACCAGCCCCACACGCCTTTCTTCAATAATGTGGCACCATGTCATAAACTAACCACCGTTCTCCTTTTTCAAAACGTCCTAGGGTCAACGAGCAACATGTGGTGGTGGGGGTCGCAGGGATAATGTTCGTAAAATATATCCAATCCTCCGAAGTGAGTTTCTTAACATGTTGGCATCAAAATAATGACCGTCACTGCACCCGAACATGCGTTACCTGACCTCGGGACTGCTAAAAATTGGTCTTGTTATCGGATGTGAGAAACACCTTCAAGACAACAATAATCAGATATCCCCATCTACGAGGAGCTAGCTTTGATAAACATCGGTTATTCAATCAGTTACAACGTAGGACCAGGCCGTTGTTGCTGCCTTGATGTGGTGATCAGGCTTGCCTATCGTGATGAAGCAACCGAGCTATACTGGCTGGAACAAACGTTCCTCTAGGTCCTACTATGTCAGACAGGTCAGTTGAAGAGCGGCAAGACTAAAAGCAACAAACCCAAGGTCCGAAGGCGAAGTCGTACTGCTGACGGTACAGAGGTGTGACAACAGTAATGTGCTTTCCTCAGACAACCAGCATGACAACGATGCTGCCTTCCCACAAGGAGCGATGGGGTTAGAAAAGGTCGATCTTAAAAATGCACACCTCGCCTTATCCCATGGATATCCGTCTCCGGCGATAAGATCTCAACAAGTACGGAGCTAACACGAAAATTACTCACAAAAAGGTCGTGTGTGACTGACCTCAAGCAGTTGTTCCTTGTCATGCCCCCAAATGCCCTGGTACGGCCGAGAGTGGGGAGGCCCTCCCTCCCTCTCGAAATGCTCTCATATGGCCACGCGTATATAGCCTCTGCCAGGCAAGTCCTACTCACTGCCTTCTCGTGGCATTTCTGTTGTTTACGAAATTGAGAGGATGAAAAGCGAATTTCCGGAGCTTTAACCGTGTTGGTGGACATGGAGAGTCCACCTAGGGGAGTTGGAAAACCCTGATTCCAAACCAACGGTGCACATGGGCTCCAGTATCCTGAAGGAACAAATGGCGTATGAACCAATTACTTGGTCACCGGCTACCATAGGACTGCATGTCCTTACGATGCTTCACTACCTTGTGGATCAGACCTTCAGGTCGAAGGCTCCGGGTGTGGCCCCCCAAGAAAACCTGCTTCGGTTCGGGCACCCGGGCAGTATCACAGCCCTCTCACATATGAAATGAGATATGTGTGGCGCATATGTATTTGGTGCCTTCTTGTACCAATATGTGTTAAAAATAATAAATAATAACTCAGGTAACTAAGACCACCTCTAATCCAATTTCCTTTTAAGGTACCTCCAGAAGAACCCCTCCACGGTCTGTGCAATCAGGAAGTGATAACCGCCCTCATACTTCTGACAGCACTCAAAACCACTTTGATAAACAGAGCAGAACTGTCCTTACTGATGTCCTTTATACACGACCTCCTACAGTTAAACTAAAACAACAACTCCAAAGATAGTCTAGATTGACATAAAGTGCTGTGATTTCCACTATACATAGCCTGGATTCATCTGTCGTGTCACCACTAGCATACGTATAACTACCTAGATATCCACACCTCGTCTAGTTCTAAAGAATCACTACAAAGAACTGGTAAAGACACAGTGTTCTGTCAGTTTTGCAAGCTGAAGGTGCAGAATACATGCCATGCTTACGTAAACCGATAGTCATCCGATCAAGTACAATCAAGATACCTTAAGGATAATCGTATAGCACCATCCGCGTATTCAAAGTCTGAAAATTTCTCCACGTAACATACCCACATCACTATTACCAAATTCCATCACAGCTGTTTCCAGAATGTTATCAAAGGCAAAGTTGAGAAGGAGTGGCAACTTTAAACAACTTTACATAACTACACTGTCGGAGTGGAACAGCGGAGAGGTGTTAGTGTGCAGCACCATATCCATAAACTTATCGGGCAAACACTATCACAAAAGATAATTCCAGACCAGTCTTGTTCAACAAGTCGAAGGCTGCCCTGATAATAAGAAATATGATTGTGAGTTTCCAATAAATGTCCCAGTGTTCTGGGACATTGTAGAGGGCGATGTAATGAATGTTTCTAATGAGAATAAAATATGACTCAAACTAAAATATTATCCTCCAACTTTTACCATCTTAAGAGGGATCTTCAGTTAAACACCAGTATACGGACTTAGAGAGCTGAAGCTACATCTATAGTAATGGCTCGAAACATTGCTCATATATCATGGGACCATCGAGTAAGTAACACAGTTGTTAGGAAACGGGTACTAGGTAAGGATGGCAAATCAATTGATGAAGTAGTGAAACTTCATCAGTTGAGATGGCTGGGACACGTGTTACGTATGCCCAACGACCGACTACCTCGACGTGCTATGTTCAGTGGTATAGGAGTAGGTTGGAAGAAAGCTAGGGGCGGCCAAACCAAAACATGGCACAAGTCCATGAAGTCACTAACAAGTGGACTGAGTCATGTTGGTAGGTGTAGACTACCTGGTTGGGGACCGCGAGATGATAGCAACCGATGGTTAGAGACCCTGAACGACATGGCTCAAAATCGTTTGCAATGGCGCAGGTGCATCCACTCTCTGTGTTCTCCCAAATTCTAATCTTCTGAATTCTTCATGTCCCTTTTTTTCTCTTTCCAAATTTATTTCACTGGATTATACTCTTTAAATAACATCTCCAAACCCTAATATTCCCGATTACTGCTTATACTCTTACTTCTTCTAATACTACGGGATTTGAATCGACAAGTGCATCTCTGTGCTAATGTGGTGTGGCAACTCGAACTGATGTACGTACGTACGAAGTTCTACGTTGTTACTGACTGAATGAATGGCTGGAAGTATTTAGTATCATCTCAATCATACAACGAACAAGCGACAAAGACTTGTAGATGATTCTGGATTTGCCCCTGAAGATGAATGGAAATACAGGAGTGGATCAGTCTTGAGATTTTTATTATAGTCTGCAAATAAACACGAGATAACAATATACTATTTCTGTGAAAAGATACAGGACATTACAGCACACCTTCAAATTTGTCCCCAAACTAATATTGATGAAAAAGTAACTTATAATAAAGCGTATTTTGATCGGATTTTATGAGTCAAATACTCTTTATTAAGTAGAAAGTGAAACAGCAGAAAACTTAGTTAAATATTGCTTAGAATAACTCGTAAACAAACTACTAGCCAGGAAACTTACAAGCGATGGTGGATTACCGGCAATTATTCCTGAGTTAGCATTTATATCTGGGCGAAAATCAGTTTTTCGCTGTTCACTGGATAATAGATATTGGACACGAGAAATAGCCAGATTTAGACACTTTTCTAAGCCAGTACAGAATTTGCCTTCCAAATCTTGTTTCAATTCGTTACGTTTGACAGATATTTCACTTGCATATGATGGGTTTGTACTGAAATAAACATAATATTAATTGCATCTAATTTTTCAAGTAATCTAATGTAAAAATTAAACACAAATATCTTGTTCCAAGGAAATTGTTATTTTACAGCATAACACGTAAAGGGCATTAACAAGACACACTACTACTAATATTAATAAGATGAAGAAGAGGAACAATTGGAAACCTGGAAGCACTGGACTTCCGTTTCTTCCTATTATAGGACTCCTCAGCGGTACGCACCCACAATCCTACACGCAGGATTCGAAATCAGGACATTCAGATTCGCGTTTGAAGGCTTAACCTCTAGACCACTGGGCCTGAATCCAACAGTGCTAACGCCTAACTTCGTCTACTCACTAGTGACTGGCTTTGAGAGGTTTAAGTGAAACCCACTTCATGCAAGCTGGACAGAAAATAATAGCTTCGGGAGAAATGATGTTGTATTCTAGTGATGAAGAAAATGCCCCGCATACGAAAGGAATTGCATTGATATTCTCCAAAGAAGCGTGAAAAGTGCTAATAGGATGGGAAACTCATGATTCTAGAATTATCAAAGCATCCTTCAAAACAGAGAGGGAAAAGTAAGTATGAGAATTGCAAGAACATCACACTACTACCGGTACCAGGAAAAGTTTTCAACAGTGAAAGTCAAGGCACAAACTGAATACACTAAAGCAAACAAAATAGTCAAGAGCAGCGTTAGAACCGACAAGCAGAAATACGTGGGACAGCTAGCAATGACGGCGGAAAAAGCTGCAAGAGAAGGAAATATGAAACAACTATATGAGACGACAAAGAAACCAACAGGGAAATATAGTAAACCTGAGGTACCGATCAAGGACAAAGAAGGTAGGTCAATCACTGAGATTCGAGAACAGATGGGTGGGACACTGAGGAACTCAAGAATAGACCAACCTCACACAACCCGACGGACATCGAAGCAACATACACAGACTACCCTATGGATGTTACTCCAGCAACAGCTGAAGTAATCAGAATGGCCATCAGACAAATCAGTTGGAAAGCAGACGTTTAACCAGATAACGTACCAGCCGACTCACTCAAGTCATACATAGAAACAACTGCAAACATGCTTCGTGTCCTATTCAGGAAGATTTGGGACGGAGCACAAATGAGGACAGATTGGACAGAAGGATATCTCACCAAAATATCAAAGAAAGGAGATCTGAACAAATGTGAAAACTACAGAGGCATCACACTACTGTTAGTAATAGAAAAGGTTTTCAACAGTGTTGTTGAACCGGATGAGAGATTTAGTAAACGATCAGCTTCGAAATCGACAGACCGGATTCCGTAGGGACCGGTTGTGTACACACCAAATCGCGACACTACGAATCATTGTGAACAATAAATTGAACTTACTTGACTATGAGAAAGCATTTGACACTGTGAATAGGAGAATTTTATGGAACCATCTTCGACACTATAGAGTGAGTAGCTGAGAAAATCGTCAACATCATGCGGGATTCATTCATACGACGGACTACATTGCAAAGTCATGCATGGAGGACAGCTGACAGATGGATTCCAAGTGCGGATCAGAGTCAGACAGGGTCGCTTACTCTAAAAGTACGTCGACCACAAAGTTGAACAAGAATGGAGAGTGGACAGTCCTGACGAACACCACTTGAGGTAATCAATTCTGATGACAGTTCGCCATAAGCTCTCACTCTACCAGTTGTGTTCGAGTAGAGAGCCTTTATAAGGTTAATGTACTTCTTTGGTACTCCTTTCAGTGACAAACACTGCCATAGAACCTCACGACCAACAGAGTCGGATGCCGCCTTAAGAACGAGAAATACTACTATTGTGTGGCGTCTGAATGTGTGTCTGTGTTCTAGAACCTGACGTAGTGTGAATATCTGATCTATACAACCACGTCCAGATCGAAAACCAGCCTGATTTTCTCTAGTCTGCTCTTCACGAGCTTTGATTAGGCGTCGAAGTATTATTGAAGTTAATATTTTAGACACTATATTAGTCAAACTGATTCCTCTGTGATTGTCACAAGAGGACTTTTGTCCTTTCTTATAGACTGACACAATCAGTGATTGAGACCAGTCAGATGGGATTACGTCCAGTTCCCAAATTCTATCTAAGACCTCGGTTAATCTCATTGCGCACAAACGACTGTCTACTGGGATCCACTCTAAGAGAGCTAGTTCTGCCCTAGGACTCAATGCTATACCTACGCCGGCGAGGCCACGGGAAGCAGAATCAGGGCTTCCAGATACACGAAGCATAAATCCAGTCGGTTCTTTATTTGGGCATGGTGAGGTCAAATGAATGACGCTACTTGGATCCTGTATGCGCGTTTCGGAGACGCAGCACACATCTATGGAGCGAGATTCTAAAGTCTTAGCTAAGGAAGCCTGCTGTCCTATTTGGCACAGTGTTCGTACGTTAAAAGCTCCTACGTGTAGTTTAGAGCGTGGTTTCAGGAGACCAGGAATAGCGTTCCACGTACTCGAATCGTTTGCCCTAGCGGTGCGAGGTGATAAAGGGACGTGAGGAGGGTTGGTCATGGAGATAAGAGAGGCATTAGGATGTTTAAGAAGGATTTGAATGTGACCACCTTGGTCTCTTGTGCTGTTACGGGTATGAGGGCTGATGTCACTTCCCGGCTGCCCACACCGTGGAAGGGTATTTCTTGAGGAACCTGAAAAAGAAATTGGATTAGTGTTGGTCTTAACGACCTGGGAGCGTGACCACAGAACCCAAGGGACAACTGCTTGAAGCCGGTCGCGCACGGCCTTTTTGTGGAAGGTTTTTGACGTGTTAGCTCCGTTCTTCAAAGGGCCTTACCTCCGGAGACGGAAATCCGTGAGGTAAGGTGAGGTGTGACATTTTTAGGGTCGACCTTTTCTAACCTCACCCCTCCTTGTGGGAAGGCAGCATCGCTGTCATGCTGGTTGTCCGAGGGAAACACCTCTCTACAGTCAGCAGTACGACTTCGCCCTCAGACCTTGAGTTGCTGCTTTTAGTCTTACCGTTCACCAATCGACCTGCCTGGCATGGTAGAACCTACAGGAACATATGTTCCAGCCAATATAGCTCGGTTGGGTCATCACGATAGGCAAGCCCGACCACCGCGTCAAGGTAGCAGCTTCGGTCGGGTAGTCTGTATCGACTGAAATAATACTCGACTCTTGGAGATCACAATGTCCTGACAATGGGAATATTATGCCGAAATTGATTTCGTAGTAAATCGCATCTTAAAATATACATAGTTGAGCGTTAAACTATGAGCTGATCTAATTAAATCAAAATAATACAGGGAGATAAAAATATTAAATCTTTCAAATATTTCCATCCATAATTGTAACATATTCGTGGACAAAATTTCTAAGTATGATACAAAGTTCCGAGGCAAGTAATGGAATTCAGAACGCACATTTCGTCCCATAGCATTACATTTTCTAGGGGTGTTCATAAGCCAATAGCAACTAATCAATTGTAGACTCCAGTATCAACAACAAGAAAATATAAATGTTCACAAATAATCTAAACAGTATTAGAAAAAGATAGGTTATTAGGTCATAGTCAACTAAAAAGACTCATACTTTCAAAAACTGAATTTATGTACTTTAGGTGTTTTTAAAAACTTTAGTGGCACAAAAAATTATTCAGAAAATACTCACATAATCATTGGTAAAATGGACTCGTCAATTGTTTTCTCAAAAAAGTGAAAAATGGATGTGGCTTCGTGAATTATGGAGAAGAAGACTAGGTTTGGATTGTTATTTCGAGGATCGGCTATATTCAAACCTGATATTACAAAACGTAAAAGCCATTCAAATATTATGTGCAAACAAGTATATGAAAATATGACAAAATTATACAAACTTGAGTATCTTACCTAACGATCAGTATAGAGCTGTGGAGGTTGAGATGGTGGAGAAGATTTGTAGCTCAGGTGGATGATTTTGGTGGAGTTTTGTTCTCTGAGCTGGATGGTTTGGTCGTGGAGCTTTCATCGTTCTTCTGAACGACATCATCAGCACAAACTTCAGATAGAAGTGAAGTGTTTGAATTTCTCCATATGTGTCTCAAAGCTTGTTATGTGCACCTCGACGTTGATTGGTTCTTATTGACCTTAAATTTGTCGTTGTTTACTTCTTTGTTTTGGTTGTGTCTCCCATTGTTTTGATTTTTGTTCTTATGTTTGTGCATGATTTTTCTGATTGGTTGGTAAATTGGATTGATTTCAATATGTTTGTTGATTGACCTGAGTGCCAGGCCTCTAAAAATCCTCTGGTGTTTTTGGAGTTTCCTCTGTCTAAAATTTCTACATTTTTCCAGTCGAATGAGTGTCCGCAGTTGTCCACGTGTATTGAGATAAGTGAAGAGATATCATGCCGTTTGACTGCTAATTGATGTTCATGTAGGCGAAGGTGAAGGGGGCGTCCACTTTGTCCGATATAGTGTTTTTCGCAGTTGGCACAATTTATCTTGTAGATGATGTTTGATTTGTTTTCCTTTGTTATTTCATCTTTTGGTTTGCATAAGATTGATTGTAGTGATTTTGTCGGTTTGTGTGCCACACCTATTCCGAAGGTTTTCAGCAGTCTCGTCGCGGTTTCTGATATTCCTTGTATATATTCCTTGTATATATGGTAGGGTGATCCTTTTGTTGATTTTTGTGCTTGACTTGAGTTCTAATGCTGCGTGCGGTTGGTATTTTTTGACGAAGTTGATGGGGTAGCCGTTCTTCTGAAATACATCTTTTAGGTATTTCTCTTCATTTCTTCGTGCTGCCAGTGTGCTGCAGTGTGTCCTTGCCCTCTTGAACAAATTGTGTACGCAGTTGATTTTGTGAGCTCTGGGGTTGTTGCTTTCAATTGCTTTTATTCACTACAACAAAAACGCCTTAATAAAATATACTTCCATTTTTACTACAGGTAGAATCGAAAATGTCTAACTAAAATGCAAAATACTAATACCAGTAGACTGACTAAAAAGCAGTGCATACGTATTTACGGAAATGGGATTTCGTGGAGACTATTCATCTTTAACTAAGTTTTCATCACGCATTTAGGCAAGCTGGGAAAGCATAAAAAAGATTTAGCACTAAGAAGCTGTTTTACCCTCAACAAAGTCTACACACTGCTCTACACAAAACCTAATACACGAAATTTCAGGCTTCGTAATCAGAACGATATTTACGAACCACTTAATTGGAGTTCAATCGTTAACATTTCAAAATTCATCCAACCATATTTGAACTGAGGTAGATATCACCTATAACATTGGACAATTGTTATCGCGTAATACTGTGGATTGATTGAAATTGGGTATTTTTTCATCCGATGAAAATCCGTGATCAAAACTGATTTCTAACGCTGATATGAAAATCCTCAAAAAGTTCATCATTATGAAGTTTGTAAAAGTTTTAGCTAGAAATAAAAGTGAAGATTTCGTTTTATTCCTATGTTTCATTCATTCTATACGAACCATACTCACTACGTTTAATTTTTTATTGCCAGTGATATAATTATTCAAAATCCCTTAATATATTTATAATTAATTTCTTTTAGCTGTACTGACGAGGATTAGCAACGTGAGTCGACATACATTTGTGATGCATTGTTTATAAATGACTGAATAAGTGATCGAGGACACTCTAATTTCGATTCAAAAGTACAACAGTAATAGTTATTTTTGATGTTTTTTAACCACTTGTAGCGTGAAAACTTGTTACTTTTACTATTTTATACACCCTATCATAGTTTTAATCATTATTTATTGATTTAATATAATTCATAATGATCCATTTAGAGCTCTTTACAAATCTTAAAAAAAAACAATAAAAGTGTGATGGTGGAGAAGATTTGTAGCTCAGGTGGATGATTTTGATGGAGTTTTGTTCTCTGAGCTGGATGGTTTTGCTCAGAGAACAAAACTCCATCAAAAACAACAAAATTGTTTTTAAAATATAATAAGTTCACAGGATTTCTACACTTTCTCTCCACTTACAGAAAAATTGATAAATTTAGTTAATTTAAAACGTGAATCTACATAGAAATCTTAATAAATGAACTATTAATCAGTGAACAGTATATTATTTGTTAGAATGGGGTTTTCCAGAATACTGGGAAATATGATTTTATTACGTAACATAGTAGACACTTTTATTGGAAGTATAGTATTGGGAGCTCTTAAGAATATATCAATAAAGCTTGTAGAGGCTCAGAAAGGCTGAAAACACTATCCGATCAGCACTAAGTAGAAAATTCCTAGAAACATCTAGAAAAATTCATGTTTTGAGTGGACTGCTATTCATAAACGTATAAATAAGCTTTCTTTTGGCAAGTAAATTAACAGTGAACGCTCCTATCCTTACTTAATGCCTTTCGACAATGTTTAGTTTAAGTGGAGTAGTCTGAGGATAAAAAACAATATAGGAAGTCACCAGCAATCGTTCCAGTAGCAGATATATCATATAAGGAAATCATAAAGTATTTTTGAGTTAAACGAATAACAAGCTTATCCATACTTGTTCAATTAGTTGAGCGAGGTAACTAAAGCTAACTATTGACTCGCCATGAAAATAAAGGTTTATTGATTAAAACTCCCTAAAAATATTAATTCTAACCTCATTACAAACAACTCGATCCTCACTGATGGATAGTTAATTTAACGACTATTCCTACCCACTGCCTTCTGGTGGTTAGGGTGTTGTTTACGAAATCGAGAGGACGAAAAGCGAATTTCCGGCGCTTTAACCGGGTTGTTAGATACAGAGAATTCACCTGGGTGAGTTCGAAAACCCTGATTCCAAACCTATGGTCCACATGGGCTCCAGGATCCTAATGGAACAGATGGCTTATAAGCCTATTGTTGATCATCGGCTAACATGAGACAACATCTCCTAACGTTGCTCCAGTGCCTTGTGGACTGGACTTCTAGGTTAAAGGCTCGGGGGAGTGGTTCTCTAAGAAAACCATCTGCTTCCGTTTGGGCACACAGGCAGTATTCCAGCCCTCACAAATCGAATGACGAAGTGTGGAGCATATATTTTTGGTGCCTCCTTGAACCAATGTTTATGTGTTTAAATAAATAAATAATGAATGGATGTGGTTGTAGGGAAAGAGACAAACTACAATGCTTTTTCATTGTTTCTCCAACTTCATGTAAAATATTTTTATCAGTATAACTGGGATCAGATTGTTTAATACATATAATGGAATTAAATCACATTTTTCTGATCAACTTTGTCTCTTCCTAATACTATTTAAAATCGATAACACATAAATTGGGTTTTGTATGAACAGTTAGTACTCAAAGTACGTCCAACATAAACATCACATTTTTACTTTTTTCAAGGAAAAATGTATAGCCAGTAATTTTGCTTTGACTTGATAAAGCTTTTTGTCATTTAATAAATTCAGTACTTGTCTTTCAAATATGGGAAGCATTATTTTTGTGTAACAAACTATGTTCAGTTATCTATGCTAATTTGTAAAGTATACGTCAATAAGAAGCTGTATTTCGTTTTACTGGGTAAATATCCAGTGTAAGGGAAACTTGGTTCCAAATACTAGTCATCTGATGGGCCCATGTACTTGATATTAAATCATCAGTGTCATTTGAATTTGAACTCGATTCTATTAACCAAAGTTTAAGCATCAAAGTAGTAGACTACAAACTCAAACAAAAGACGTGTTTTACATTAAAGTATTTAAATTTAAAAGTATCGTTTAGATTTTGGTTCAGATATATTAATTATCACGTTTCTCGAAATATGCTAAAGAATGATCAATTTCAGTTACTCACTTCCTGAAAAATACATTAAAATAAATGAATAATAAGTCCTATTTGGTTGTTAATTCTTTAACCGAAGTATATGACTACAGAATCGAAGAGATATTTGTTCAACGTCTAAATTATATGATAAACCTGTGAATTGCTGCTTTGTAGTTTTGTTCTAATGATATTACAGATTGATTTACACGAATTGATGACTATTAAATACGGTTATCCTATTGATAACATTTCTATATTATCGATGGTATTTATGGCTTAGTTTTCCAACACCTAACCGTAGATCTAATTGTTATATTATAAACATATACAGACTAAATAGTACAAGAATCTCAATTTTCGTATAAAAAAGAACACATTTAGTTTTGATGCAATGAACTTACCGTGCAAACCTAAAGTAACACCATAATCCACGTGTTCAACAATTAGATAGTGATACAAACAAGTAAATATGAATTTGCCATTGTCTGGAATAGCAGTAGGTTGGGATAACTATAGAGCAATTGAACAATATATATATAAATATATATAGAACAATTAAGTGGATTAAAAAGTAGTAACTATAAAAATTTTATTTTTACACATTGTGAACTGTATGAAATGAAGTATTATGGTCATTAATTAACTTAAAATTTTATTTATTTTAATACTTGTATTGAATACAAACTAGTGTACAACCTCTTTATTCATTAACATGAAAGGGCTTATGCTGATTGGTTGATGAGTGACTTCGCAATGGATTTACTGATAAATTGAATAGATTTTAATATTTATATTTTCAGTTAAATATTTCACGTAAAATGTTAAGAACCATTTCTACTCTTACCTCAACTTCATCTAATAAAATACTGTCAGAAACTTAATATTCATGGGCTATTATCAAATCACCTTTTCACTACATATTGAAGCAATCATTAATTAGTATTTACTTTAAAAAATGCTATACAGTTACATTTACAAAAGTTTAGGAAAAAATGTTTTAAAATAAAACAATAGGAAATCTCATCGTTCCCAGAATAATCAATAGTTTAGATCATTTATCTAGAACAACATACATAAATAACCAGTTGGCAAATGTCATCAAATATACATGCAATGACTTTAATAACAATTTTAAGATTGGTTCTAATATAAAAACTAAATATTCTATATCAATGACAAACAATTAACCAAATAGGAGAAAATATACTTGCCAATGATAATTCATTCAGTCATGACAAATATGAAACCTAATATATATGTTCTTTGGTCCCAACTTCAATACCGTATCAGCATAGCCATATGAGATTATCAAGACATATAGTACCAGGATAACAGAAGCAGTAACAGCACCAGTTACAGTAGAAAAGATTAAGCAGAGAGAACACAACTGAAGAAGAAAGAACGGATTTGAGGAACAATAAGTAGGCATTTTTAGACATTGGATAAGTGCATCATTGCCACTGTAAACGATGAAAAATAGAGATGAATAGATGATTGTTTCAAAAACTGGCGTATAAGTGTAAATCCATTCAGAATACCATATACTTTATTTGAAGTAAATAGTCTTCAGTTGTAAATAAATCTTCAACAAAGAGACTGCATAAATATAATGAAACCAAAGACGGCGTCTCATTATATGACGAAAGTATACTAAAAAGTTTAGTATTTAACGAAATTTTACCTATTTCTCGAAATAACATATTCCCGATGTAAAAAGATTGGAGATTATTACAAGCATTCATGACTAAGTTATTACTGTCTACATCTTAAGTATGTTTATTTTTAAAATAAGTTCAAGTTTCAGTATCTTACCAGCAAGCATCGTTTGGCAGCACGCCGAATATCCTCAATAATATTAACAGCGACTTCTTCTGATAACAACGATACATCATAGTCATTTTGTGATCGATCACCACCAGTGATATGAAACTTTGCTTGGAGGTCTCGTCGAAATTCAGCCAAGCTAAAAACAACAGAATAGTTAATATTTATTGATGTTACTGGAAATAAGTACATTATTCCTCATAAGCTAGATGAACACCTATGAATATTCACTTTACTATATCAGTAAGATTTTATTATTGAGAGCTAATCACTTTTAAATTGTAACAGTGTATGAAAAACTTTGAAACTAACCCAGAAACATTTAGCGCACGTTTTTGATGCCTTTGACTTTGATAATAATGTTCAAGATGACCTGTTAAGCGTTCAGTTAACCAGTCAGATTCTCGTTTCATATAATCAACTAAATATGGAGCAAATAATTCCCGAAATAATTTGGACAGTTGCATTGGATCCGTAATTAAGGTTAACTCATTAGATAACTCAACAACCAATTTTTCAACGCTGAAATTTGCAAAATAGATACATAAAACTATCAGAATTTTATGTATGACAGCCAAAGTCGAAATAAGAAAAAAACTCCAATTAGATTTTTAAGAAGATACAATAAATTAACAGATGAATGAATTTTATTTATCATCGAAAACAAAACATAAACCATTGGCCAAAAAACTAGCGATGTACGAGAAAAAATGTAGTGAAATTGACAACATTTGATTGAGTTAACTAATTACATTCATTCTTTTGAAAGTAAAGTACGGTAAAAAGGGTGTAAATGATAATGTTTAATTAACTAACCTAGTCAATGAAAACTGTGTATTTGGTTAGATAGTGAGCAACAGATGTATGTGTTGAACTTATATTTAAAAGCATTGACAACAGTATCGTCATAAATGGCATGATAAAAAAGTCTACTTGAAATCTACAATGGCTTACAGTGATAAACATCCTACATTTACAAGCGTAAAACTTAAACATATAAAGGAGATGATTAGCTCTGAACAAAAATTTTATAAGCAAAGATGGATAGTGGCTAACAGTGGAATCTCGGACGCGCGTTTCGTCCTATTCGGGACTCGTCAGCTGGATGTACCTGCATCTCAGAGTTGATATTCACTCTGGGACTCAAACCCAGTACCGTTCGCTTCAAACGCCATCGCGTTATCCATTTAGCACAGTATGCACATATGCCAATAAGAGACTGATCAATTTCAGTCCTAAACATCAATGGGAAGATTCAAGTAAAACCATACCAAATGAATTAAGAATTTTATAATTGTATCGTATATAAAACAAACATTGAGAAGTTCAATGAGATGTGCATTTTCATGTACTAACAAAGATTAAAAATAGAACTACTTTCAAAACTATTGAGATTCACTATTACTCTACACAATATTGCAAATGAATATTAGATTACCGAACAAGAATATGTGTAAAACTGCAATCATAGGCTTACTTTCGATATTCATTGTACAAATTAGTTAAAAATGCCTGTGCATTCAATTCTTCCTTCATATGATTACTCAGGTATACCTAAGTTGGAATAAATTGAAAAATCAAACAAATTATATGCTTAGAAAGTTCTGTGACGAGGAAAATAAGTATGAAATACGAGACTTTTGGAGCCGTTCTCTGGGTGTTTAGAATATATTTTTTTACCGTGCATTTGTTAAACGACTGATTTACGGTAGTTTTATATTCTCTTAATTATAAGCTTCTATTTGTCTCATTGATAGTTGTTATTATCTTTTCCCATCCATAGATTACTGCTAATCAGTTATGAACCTATTATTTGTATAATAAATGTCTCAGTTTTGTACATAATATGATTCATAATTTACGCGTCATGGTCTTGTATTTTAGAGTTTGAATCACACATAACAGCTTGACCTTTATGCCACTGATTGATAATTTGGGAAAACGGATTAAAATCTCACGTGGGACGTTGGTCGTTTTGAAACATACAGTAAAGTGTCAGCGAACTTAGTTAATATGAAGCAGTCATAAAAGATAAAATATAAGCTTAGTAAAATTACATAGGATATGCACAAAGCACCCGGATCAACTTTGATTGCCAACTGTTATATACAAAAAGGTTTATCTCCAAAACTATATGATAGTAGTACATTATATGTCTTCGAAGTGTTGATCATGTAAGGTGGAGTAGTGTTAAAATTACGCATCATTTGTAATTAAGAGACGCAAGGCAATCAATGAACTTGTGAGCCCAAACTGATTGGTGTAACTTGGTTGTGTTTAAGGCAGGTCAAAGGATCATCCGATTATATTGTTCTGGTTGAATTGGAAATAAATTCGCATTAAGTTGAGTGAACTCCGCCTGGAGCCCCTCTGGGGCTACCGCCGACCCCAAGCCCGGATAAAGGAGGAAGGTTGGGCATGGGTAACACCATTGATGAACACGGTGGATCTGATGCAGATGTGAAGGCACGGATCGGAAAAGTAAGAGCAGCATATTTACAATTGAAGAACATCTGGAGCTCAAAACAACTGTCAATCAACACCAAGGTCAGGATTTTCAATACAAATATCAAAACAGTTCTGCTGTATGGGGCGGAAACTTGAAGAATTACGAAAGCCATCATCCAGAAGATACAGGTGTTTATTAACAGTTGTCTACGCAAACTAATTCGGATCCGTTTGCCGGACACTATTAGCAACAACCTACTGTGGGAGAGAACAAACCAGATTCCAGCGGAGGAAGAAATCAGGAAGAAGTGCTGGAAGTGGATAGGACACACACTGAGGGAAGCACCCAACTGCGTCACAAGGCAAGCTCTCACATGGAATCCTGAACGCCGAAGCAGGAGAGGAAGACCAAATAACACGTTACGCCGGGAAATGGAGACAGATATTAGAAAAATGGACAAAAATTGGATAGAACTGGAAAAGAATGCTTAGGACAGAATGGGTTGGAGAATGCTGGTCAGCGGCCTATGGTCAGTTAGGAGTAACAGGCCTAAGTACGTAAGTAAGTAATTAAGTCCTTTGGATCAAATGTATTTATCAGAGTCTGTATTATTATGTGAACGACTGACTACTATTCTGAAAACCTAAAAGCATTCTTTGAATTCATTCCAGAAAGAAATGTGCCTGAGAAAATGTTAGCTTATGGAATCCTTTTGTCTATTGACAGGAACATCTAATTTGAAATGATTTTACATTCATTTTTCATATATGAAAAAATAACTCAATCAAGTGTTTGATCATATGCATGTTTTATTTCAAATTATTTAATTATTAATGTAATTCAAGAAATGCATCAAAACGTTAAACATGGAGTCTTCCCCAATCTAGTTTGTGGAATGCTATTTGAATGTACCCATGTCACCAAACCATGTAGTGTCTAATTTCATAGCTTACTAAATCTCTTAGACCGAACAACCTCATCATTTGTAAAAATAGGGTTTTATGGTATGATGTTGACGCTATTAAGCATTAAAACTATACAATCTATTGACAAGAGTAGACGGAAAAACACTTTATAAACCGACATAAAATTAACTTTCAGTACAACACTGGCATCTAGTTAGAAAAATTCGGATTTCGACCTTTATCAATAAAGGTCTAATCCAACAAGAAAAAAATTCTTTTGCAGTACTCATACGCATATAATTTATTTAGTCATTAAGGTATTTTCAATAAGAGCATTCAAACTGCAACGAGACATATAAAAAAAATTGTTAGTTATATAAACCAGTTACTCAGTACGTAGTATCAAATCTTCAAACATCAGAGTTGGTTGGAAATTAATGAAAGAATGCTGAAAATAAAAGTGATTAAAACAAATCACATGACAATGAAGTTCAAATAAAAACCGAGTTTCCAGAAGTGTACTACCAACGATAATGTTAGGTAATGTATAACTGTCATTTATTTGACATACTTTTAATTTTGTTGTGAAAAGACTATGCATTAGTTGCATCAGAACTGAATCTGGTCGTAAAAATAAGGTCATAATTAGCTTTTCACTCGAAACCAAGCACCTTGTAATATCTTTAAAATGAATCTTGTTGGGATCTATTGTCTGTTAACAATAAAACGAATGAAAGAAATGTACGAAAATTATGATAAGAATAAACAAATTAGTAGATAGTGACTATGGAACCATAACGTATAGAAAATAGACATTTAAATTGGAGAAATAAAAGCAATTCGACTTTTCCTACTCAATAAAAACTAGTTACAGATATTGCATATTGACTGTTTCATATTGACCTTTTACTCAAAGATCTTTTCAGAGGCCTTATTTTCAGTGGAACGTAAAGAAAGTGAAATTTCAAGGTTGTCTGATCCCAGTATGAACTTTTTTCATTATCATTGCTACTATATCATTTCAGTATTTTTTTTCTATTCATCTTGTGAAGTTCATCTCGTTGAGCTAATATGGTATGGGAACTTCGGGTGATGCACACTTATTCCAGACTTTGCTGATGACGACTAACTGGAACACAGTGAAGTAAGCACATTTGTGTTTTGAAGACATCTAATTCATCTTAAAAACAGAAAAGAAGCACTTTTCAACATTCTGATTACCTGTGAGAAACATCATACTGCCGGTTCAACCCAGTATAGTCGGTAATCCTATTTCCAGAAATTCGATAATAAATGTACTGATCCTCAAGCTTTCTTGCCGAAACTTTGTCGAAACTACAAATTTTTAAGCTATAAACGTAAACAGTCTAACAGAGAAACTGATGTTTCGAAAGAAGTATATAAAATAAATTTACCTTTACTGTTTCTTCAACCAAGATCTCAGCACATTGAGAGTAGTTTTTGGAAAGAAGAAGTACATCTGCTATGCTCTTCATTGTCTCAATATTTCCCGTAAGGAAATTTGCTCTAAATCGTTCAAGTAAAGCTGTATCCAAGTGTTGACAGGCGACTGAAATTAATTACGTTAGAAATCCAGTAAAAAGGACAAACCTGTTACTCTTTGTTTTGCATTTAAGAAACGTTCATCATCCGGTAACTCCAAGCACAACGAACTCAGATTTTTGAACCGAGTGGCGGCCTCAAGTAGCTAAGAAAGTAAGGTGAAAAACTCGTTCACTAACTTTTTATTCAGATACGCTAAACCTTACAATGCATAAAATTAAAGCACTAAATAAGATTTGAAGTTTAAGGATGAGTATGAGTATTTAAAAAGTGCATACTAGAAATTTCATTTTGTCATCATATCTTTTAAAGAAGAATAAAATTCACTTTCATTTAGGATTGATAACCATAACCACTCTTCTATTAAGTTTAGTAATAACGAGCTGTCTTAACGGCTCAATTTTATACAAGCGTTTGTCACATAAATATTTCCCCTATTATCACCATAAAATCCAATTAATACTTATTTATGAGCACCTGGTTCCCTTCCCAAAACTGAACAAATGACGGTTAGAAGAATATAAATTCATCATATTTCTCTAAACTGTCGTTAGACATATACAGACTAAGTCTTGATTGAGTAAAAACTGACAAATACGAAAATACTAATTCGGAAATTAAGTGTCTGCCAATGACTAGTAAAATGTGTTGAGATACAAGTTTGAACTGTTGGTGAAAAGTGGCAAATAAATGAAGTGTCGATTCTAGGACGATTAACACATACAATAAGATAGCACCTTATACAAAGCTATGAAACTTGAATGATGCAGTTTCACGATCAATTACGAAATCTAAGAAGTTGATATGATCACACATCAGTATGGTATAGCAAGTGTGTGCGTGAATTTAACAGACAAAATACAATGTTGTAAATATATATCTTACTTAAAAGAAGGTTCAATAAAATCGGTAGTAACAAAAGTCTACAGGGTTAAAAACAAGTGGTTATATGGTGAGCAAACTTTAATAAGTAGGAATAAAATAAGTCAGATTAGCTAAGAAAGACCACTAATCTAGAAGATAAATATAATAGGTTGTAAGTAGCTGACGAGAACTAGACGAAATAAAATGGATTCATGTCAATCTGCTCGAACTTTTCCCACTCTTTTTAAAAGAAATAATTATTTGTACAACAAAGTACATTGAAGTACGCTACTTTGATTGTGAATTTTAAGCAACTCATATGGAGAAAATAGGTTATTCTATTAGAAAATATAAGAAAAATATTTCCGGACAGTTTGATTCACATAATATAACAAGGCTTATTCTTCAGGTTATATCGAAAGGTAACTTACCTGAGCTTCATCCGATTGAGCGCTTACTACATTGGTGACACTTCCTCCACCAAAACCCCAGAATTTATAAAATTCAAGTATCAAATCACGTGCCTCTTCAATTCGTTTTCTTGGCAAGTTTTTTCTTTCTAACTGGTCGCCTAAATGGACCAACTTTCCAGATACCATATGAACTTCGGTATCTAACTTGCAGAATTGCTGACTAAGATCAGTTAAATCCTTTTTTAACCTTTCGATAGCAGAATGAAATGACCGCTCATCCTCTCGACATTTTACCTGTGTTGTGAAAGTTCAAAAAACCTAAATAATTATGATAATACTTTCCATAAGAAGTACGTGGAAGTTATAAGCAGTGAAATTCATCGTTATTTCCACTTAGTCTAATCCTTAGTTTTCCTAAGTCAAAAACGAATGATATTGCTAGAGGTTACAATCTATTATCACTTTAAGATGATAATTACCTGATTCAGAAACCTTTTAGTCTCATAATGTACAATAAGACATATCCATAATATTTCAGCATAGGGACACAAAACTTTTTGAACGAGTATACATTAAAGTATCAGATCACAGGAAATGAACGAGATGCAGGAAAGATAAAGTGGACAAACAAACGAATGAGTGGAAAATGTAAAGTAAATGTAGGATGGAGGTTGGAAGTAAAACAATAGATGGATATATTTGCAGAATCGCGGTCACGATTGAACCATGTTACATAGAACTGAGAGAATGATCTTCTACTCATTATGTTACTAATTACTGGAATTCTATACTATAACAGGTTATATCAGTAGCTTCCCTTGATACACTTAGAATGGAATTGGTTTTTTATAGTATTGCAAATCAAGAAAATAAACACAGATCAACTAACCTCATATCCATACCGATAAAGATTACCTGCTAACAACTTCAGATTTTGTTTGAGGAAGTGACGAATGTACATCTGATGTATCAATGTATATATATATATTGGTTGCTGCCAACTAACTTTAACTATTAAGCTCTGACAGCAGTTGCTATCGAGAATATCTTCAATAGCTTAACATTTCGACAGGTTAAAAGAATAGTTGCCATCTAAGAGGGTGAACAGCCTGATGCAATATAATTAGTAGGACCATATAGTTACCTGGGCAAGGTGGTAAATTGATAGCACCAGTTATTGGAGAGAGTAAGCTTTCTCTCTCCCTAATGAGAAACTAGCATTTCCAGACACTATTTTTTACACAGAGGATGGAAGAGAGCAACTTTGGAAACAACACAAAACTTCATGTGCTATTTTTCAGGTTTAAAATCTACAAAACACACTGTGAAATCGAGAATAACTACTAACAAAAAAGTTATGTAACCAGTCTCAGATAATGTTTGGTCGACATCTATTGTCATGGAGTCGAAATTCTGGAGCGATTACTGTTATATCCTTTAAAGATTACATTACGAGTAACGTCTGAGACTTATTAATGGACTATTATTATTTATATATTCTCATGGTATACATATTAGGTAACTAGATTATGTATATCTATATTCCCCTTGTTGTAAGCTTTATTTTGACCTATAATTTATTATTGTAAGATTTACTGTTCTTAAGCTATGTTCAGTGTATTGACTACTGCCTCCCGCGTTCACAGTCACTTTTTGGCTTTATTGTGTACAAATATTATTTCCTATCATACGCTGCGTTGCGGTCTGTTTGGTTGATATATAAACCCATTATGTCTGAAATAAAAGCGATTCGATTCGCATATTAGAAGCTGGTATTAGTGTTCTGGACTCAAGTGGACGGGCTGGGCAGACAGGGCCAAATAAGACGCTAGGCTGCCCATACCGGTTGAACGTGATTGGTTTTAGCACAGTGCTAAGATTGTATAAGTCGTTTTTGGTTGGTGGACAAATCACGTGATAAAAAGCCGGACATAAAGTCATAACAATTACTACAAATCTTCTTCGGTTAAGTTTCCCGACACATCAGTCAGTCAGCTACAGCGTAGGACTAGACACATATGTGCATCGGTCCAAGTTGCCATACCTCATTAGCACAACAAGATGAACACCGAATTCATTAAAGTAGTGGTGGTAATATATAAAAGAAAGATTGCATATAAGGATATGGTACAGGAAAAAAGAACTGGTTCATAAAAAGAAAGATATAAAATAATTTTAATCTCATAGTTTAAGGGAAAACAAACAGTGTATACACCGACGCGATTGTGGTCGGTTCTGAGGCATGTCACCAAGAGTCTCCAACCATTGGTTACGATAGTCGTGCGAATCCCAACCAAGTAGTCTGCATCTAACAACATGGCTCAGACCACATGTTAGTGACTTCAGGCACTGATGCCACGTTTTGCTTTGACCGCCATCAACTTTCTTCCAACCATCCCCGACACAAATCAGCATTGCGCGTCGTAGTATTCGTGTTCAGGCATACGTAACACGTGGCCCAATCATCTCAGTCGATGAAGGTTTACAACCTCATCAACTGATTTACCACCATCCCATAATACCTTACCTCTAATCTCACTATTACTTACCCGGTGATCCCAGCAGATGCTGGCAATATTTATAAGACGTCTGTGACCAAATACTAGTAACTCACGAGTATTTTATGCTTTTATTGACTACGTTTCGCAGACGTAAAGTGGAACAGATCAGATTGCTGCACAGTACACTCGTCCCTTAATTGACAGACGGATACCTCGCCTTCGCCGTAGGTGACATAAGTTGGCAAAAGCCAAACGAGCTTTTCGAATCCGTGCTGAGATTTCGTCAGACACCAACCCATTGGGACTGATCAGACTTCCAAGATAAGTGAAGTTGTCAACGCGTTCGACTACTTCACTCCCTATCCTCAGTTCAAGTGTTGACGCAGGCCGGTACTGAAGTAACAACTCACATTTAGAGATGGAGAAGCGCATTCCAAACATTCTGGCATTGTTGCTCAGTGCCACTAAAAGACTCTGCATTTTATCAGCGTCTTCACCAAACAGGACTATATCATCTGCGTATTCTAAGTCGATAAGTGCACCTCTACTGGTAGAAGATCAATGCCCGAGAATTCAGTCGATGAGAGCGTTATTTCCATCAATAGGTCTATGATGAAGTTGAACAAAAATGGAGAAAGTGGACAATCTTGACGGATACCACTTGAGGTTGCAAAAGCAGATGAAAGTTCCTAACACATACAAGGCTTTTATTAGTTAGGACTAAAAATAGAAGTGTTAAAGAAAAGATGCTTGAACTTAAAACTGGGAACCCTTAAGTGGTAATGCCTACAGCCAATATACTATTATGGGAGGCTAACATGTCCGTAAACAGATAATTGATTATAGAAGTAAATGAAATTCCCTAAAGTAATCAGTGTTCAGATCTGACCCCAAAAATCTTTAGATTTCAGGGACGACTATTTCAGTTGTTATTACTCATGCGATCAGTTGTACGATTGGTCTTAAATAGTTAATGTTGACCACATTTCATGACAACGTTTAGATCTAACCAAGGCCATATGACGTTCATTTGTATTAAAACGTGGTAACCAAAAAATTAGAACGTTTTGAAGCATCTGAATCTGGTCAAAATCCCCAAAGCTTACACATAAATTTTAAGCACACTAGAAAGTCAGCGAGGAAAATGGAGGCGCCGAACATCCTACAATGCATTTTAAAAGCTTAAACCACGAAATATTCAACTAGTCACGTTGAGTAACCTTTTAAATTAACAACCTCTGAATATACTTCATGTTAAGCTAGGAAACCATTATATATTTGAGCCCAACCAGTAGTCATATTCATCAAGAACGTTAAAAAAGTTTTGTTGTACGGAGCTGAAGCGTAGAGAACCACTACAACCATTACCAGAAAAGTACAGGTATTTATGCACAACTATCTATGCAACATACTCTAGATCTGTTGGTCGGATAACCTCAGCAACAACCTACTGCGACAGAAAACAAACCAACTTCCAGATGAAGATGAAATTAGGAAGCGGATAGGACACGCATTGTGGGAATCTTCAAACTGCATCATGAAGCTAGTCAGTCTTCAGTCTTCAGTAATAAGGATAGGAGGTCTGTCGACCTATATTAATCCTTGCAGTTTGTAATACTGTGGAGGTCCAATCTCGTTTTGAATATATTAACAGACGGTGCTGATATTACGTGTTCCGGTAGGGAATTCCAGTAATTCACTACTCGGTGCGAGAAACGGAACTCCAGACGTAAACGTCCTTACTTGCAATCCTTAAGTCAAAAGGAAAAGAGGACCCAAGAACACATTGCGTCGAGAATCGGTAGCACACATCAAGAGAATGAACAGCAACTAGGGACAAGGTTGGTTAAAGAACCTTGGCCTTATGAAAGCTAACTGACGTAAGTATGTAAGTAACCATCTAATCAATAAATATAAAATTAGACACCATTTCTAAAGACTCACCTCCATCTGAGAACATTTTTCTTGCAGCCTCGACTTGAGTAAAAACAGTTCGTACAACGCACCCTCAAAATGTTCTTTTAACTTTTGCGGTTTTAACTCGGTTTCAGGAGTAGGAATTCCAAGTACACTCTTCGTCAATCGGTCCAACAACGCTACCCCATAATTCGATTTCTGAAATGGTAAAGTATGTGCAGGTATAAACATACGATGCTCGGAAATGAAAAATCTGGATTTATGGCTGGACACATCGAAATGTCCTTGACTTTAAATTAGTGCCATCCTTAAAGTTGCACATCGCATTTAAATTCACAGATCTTCAAACACTGATTAAAAGATGAAATGATGATGACTTATGTTTCCCTAGTATGTTTTTGAAAGCTTATAGTTTGTTTCGATTTGGTTAAACTAATCATCCTACTTCTTTTAGTATTGGACCTCGAATGGTCCAAGTGGTTGTGAACGGAATGAAAGTTTTCGCTTAACGGGCTTCTGTGTTTAATAGCTCTGAATCATCAATACTTCCAGGCAAGATCATGGGTATATTGCCGATAAAAGGGTAAAAAGAAGTCGGTGAATCATAGTAAGATACTATCCTAAGTCCTTGAGAATATATCAAGTTTTCTTTTAAAGGACTCATGGGAAGTCGTTTGGACTAGCGCAGCCGTTAGTGAATTTCCATCACTTGTCTACTCTTAAGGGGTAGACGTTGTGTTTGTAGTTCGTTCTGTTGAGTTGTGTTTCCACTTTTAGGGTATTACCTCTTAGTTTTGTTTCTGGACCGAGTAAAAATGCTTCCACTCTAGGGTTTGTCATGTCTATTAGAAATCGAACAGTAATGCTTCCAGGAAAACACATAGGTGTTTGATACAAGCAGAAGAAAATTATTAATAAACTGTTACGAGACACAGTCCTTAATTCTTAAGAATATATCAATTTTCCTCTTGAAGAAATAGGAAGATCAGTCTTCGGAAATATGGATAGTAAATTGATTGATCTGAGTTAGCTTTTCCAATTTATTTTCCAGTAGAAACCCAGCTTCTCCTTAAAAATGTTCACTGGTGCAATGTACTGTGGTAGGGTGCTCCAGTAATTGCGAAATGGGATCCCACTCCTAGTTTATTTGATCGTGGTTTTAGATTTTATTAGTGTTACCTCGGAGAGAACTAGTTCTAGAGCGGACGTAAAGATCAAACAGTTTAAAACCCAGATCGTTATTATTGATACGGAATGCCAGTATAAGGTCATTTCGCGTCCCAGGATGAAGGAAAGAAGTTTAAACATTTTATAGCGGTAAACAAATTCCTGAAACAAACTGTTCTGTCCACCCTCGACATTGATGCTGACCTAGTCGTAGGTTCTCGGTCATGCCATCGCACCAGACCACGAGTGGGTATATCGTTCTACTCATCCATTGTAAATACTAACCAGCTGAGATCAAACGCTTCTCAACATGTCGTGTACTCCGATCATAAAAGTATTGCGTGTAAAGGCGTTTTCAAATTCCCAATACCTGTGGAATCTTCACTTTTAATCACTCATTAGTGAAGGATATAGGAAGACCTATCAGTCGCTTAGTTTACACACGTTGAACACAAGTGAGTGTGCTGGCATCCTCAATGTGGAATGGACTAGCTGCTCACATCTCACATAAGTAGGGCACAAAATTCAAAACGCATCCTCACCAAGGAATTCAGATGCTCAATGAATTGACCATATCCTTCAAAAATCTTTGGCAAGTAATACATTACAAGTCACAGCTGTTGACAAGCCATGAATCATTACCACTCCTATTTATGTTCTTCCTGAGCCTGTGGAATCAATGTACTACTGAAAGTATACTAATGAATGTTACCATGCCTAATGTACATTGGTGCATTCCTTCTACAATTAGTCTAGAATCTCCAACTCTAAGATCTCCAGAATAAATCATTTAATCCCACTTGGAGATGGATATGAGCACTCTCACTATTTATTGTTCTTCCGACTGTGACATCATCTGCAAACAGAAACTCCGATGACTTAAGCAGTCTTGGTAATTTATTGACGTAGGGTATTTATCATAAGATTGTGAAGGCCCTGACGGATGTGTCCGCTGAATCTCTACCATACTGTTTGAAATGACTTTGCGGCAGTCTAAAATGCCAAGAGCATAGAAAGAGGCGTGAATCATTTCGCCTCATAAATCGGAGAGTAGAGACGTAGTAACTAACAACCCGTTAATCCAACCCGTGTAATCGTAGTGGCATTGGGCCTTCAGCACACAATCCTCAAAGCTGAACATGAGATAATTGGGAAATAAAATATTCGACATTTGACACGGAGAGAAGACCAACAATGGAGAAGGCAGGAGAAATGAATTGAGTTCAGCCGGATGGCATGGCTCAGTCTCGCGAACGTAGTCATGCAGTATACTTTACATTAAATATATTACTCTATCTTTAGCCTAAATGTGTTCTTTAGAAACTGTAGACATTAAGTTGTTAATTGTTACGATACGATGAGAGGGTTAGAGTAAGCAACCATGCCTGACACCGAACGAGTCTGTGACCACTACTCCATGCATGATTTTGCTGTTTAATACATCGTAGGAATTCTGTGTGATATTGACTATCTTCGGAGGCACGTCGTAGTATTGAAGAAGCCTCCATTGTGTTGTTCTGTCCACGCTATCAAGTGCTTTTTCGTAGTCAATGAAGTTGATGTACAGTGATGAATTTTACTCAACTGATTGTTCCACAATGATCCGCAAAGTTGCGATTTGGTCTGTACACGATCTATCTTTCAACACGGCTTTTCTTCGGGATTTTGACAAACTCAACAAATTCAAGACAGCCCTCAGCAATAAATTCCAGTCCTTTCATGATCTACTCAACGGAGAAGGAACTACTATGGAGTGCAACTGGAAAGGGAGTAGATCATGAAAGGACTGGAATGTATTGCTGAGGGCTATCTTGAATTTTCGAAGCTATCACGAGTTCACTTAATCTGCGAATGAGAAACAAGACTCGGTGACCAAAGACCAGTAAGCTAGCTATTGATGCGTCCCAGCCCCGTTAACTAAAGCGAGAAGTCCAAGCTTGGAATGGGGAAGTATATTCTGCAAACAGCCAGAAACGAGCGATAACAAAAAACACAATTCAAAGCGTATATGTACAGTGCCAAATAGCATGCTAAAAGACGTAACGGACCAATAGCATTTAAGATATTTCCCAGTGGGAAATACGACATGGAAATGCCAAGAGCGCCTTTGGTGCGAAAGCAAAGGAATTCAAATTTTCTAAATAAAATTACAAAATCAGGTCCTTTCCCAAGTGAGTTCTGTGGATCTAACGTCCCCAACATTCCTGGTGATCGACTGGATCATGAAGACGTCAACATCTGAAGGGAAGTACGGGATACAGTGGACAGCTCGGATGCAGCTGAATCATCTAGACTTCTCTATCGCAGACGCAACAACAAATGCAGATTGAGACGAAAAATGGTTAACACATTGATGTAAGACTCCTCCGATTGCTGAGTCGGATGCGTCTACTGACATACCAATGGGTGTTTCAGTGTCCTGATGAACAAGCATTGTTTCTTGAGCGATAAGTTCCTTAACTGTGGAGAATGCTTTTCGCACGCTGTCGTCCAGATTGATGGATTTCGCATTTCCACGAAGTTGGTCGGTCAGAGGTTTCATGAGTAACGCACATTTCGGTATGAATCGTCTGTAGAAACTTACAAGGCCGCCACTTTGGTCCTAAGGGGTCGGATACCTTGAGCATCGATAGTGTGTCTTAGAAAGTCTAAAGGGTCAGTCCCGATTTGGAATTTCTGAATGTT